TAATACTCTACTAACTGCTAGTTGACATGTAGTTGCAAAGTTACTTACTGTTAATAGAATGTCTAAAGTGGACTATCAAAATAAAGTGTTACCATAAAGACTATGCAGTCTTTTATCAAATTATAGTTGGAGCCAATAGCTTCGTAGACAGCGCTTTTGGCGACCCATGTTCGAATCTTGTGGTCATTTCCTGATTCTGCCCCCTTTTGTCTCCCACTTTGCTTCCTGTAAATTCTCTACTGTTGTGTCCCAATAATAGGAAATAACTATATATGTGTATGTGTAACGGAGGCCAGCGAGTAGGTGCTGTGCAGGTAAAACCTCATCGCAGTCTTTAGCCTCCTTGTTAGTGCGTCCACCTCCCACGCCGGAGACCCGGCCGATCCACTCGGAACAAGAACGAGGTGTGGCGGTGAGGACTCGGGACAGAGGGGTTTCATTGGTGGCATGACCCAGATGGGAGTGAGGTTTAGGGGGCTGAGTGTAACAGAGTCTAGCGAGTAGGTGCTGTGCAGGTAAAACCTCACTCCACTGATCTCAAGAGACGCACTAGCGACTGATGCTAAACACTGCAGTCTTTAGCCTCCTTGTTAGTGCATCCGGCTCCCATGCCGGAAACCCAGGTTCGAGACTCACTCGGAACAAGAACGAGGTGTGGTGGTGACCCGGGAGAGAGGGGTTACATATGTATATAGCTTGTTCGATTTTCATTTTTTCTTTTGGATAAATTCCTGACTAATTTATTATTATTTTTTTTCATATATGTATTTATTCATAAATATGTTATATTACGGATGTAAAATGGGTTGTGAACAGCATTTAATATTGATTGAACTAAACTAAAAGGAGTTTCATGGTTATGTGACAATTGATAAGTGTACATAAAATTTGTTGCAGCTGTTTGTAATATTTATTACATCGTGATTTAGGTGTTAACTCTTCCTGTTTGAAATCTTAAAATATAAATCACTGGACAAAAGGGCCGCAAATAGATTTATGGCCCTCAAATCAGATAACACAACACACTTCAGAACTTGAAGGCATCTTTCACACACTCGCTCTGTTCTTGTTTCTGACTCTAAAAGGTTTCAAGGCCAAAGCACTGGAAGTTGAGGCGGGCCAGTAAGCGAAAACATGTGTCTGCAGCCTTCAGCTCGAGCTCAGCATTAATTTGTGTTTGTGTAGAAAATTGCCCTGAGAGAGATGAAAATACATGGGCCTTGGCTTCAGGGAATGGGCTGACAGCTTTGAGGTTTGAGCTGGTTGTGTGATGATGCTTTAGCTGGTCGATGCTTGTACTCATCTTCAGCTGAGCTAACCTGATGTTCACTGGTTTCAGTACAGTGATAAAAATACATTTTCAGTGTTTCCTTTTAATTGAAAGGGTTTTTATCTTTATCATGTTTATTTATTAAATGTTGGGTTTCCCAAATAATGCCTTCAAACACAGTTCAGTACCCCATACTTTCCTAAAATACATGAACCAGCTGTCATAGATGTGATTATAATATACTGTTATTAGCTTAAACTATGTACTTGAAGATTTATTACATTACTATTAGTAGTAGTAGTAGCATTTTTTTTTTTTTTTACAAAAACTGAATATCCTAAATATTCTTAACTACGGTACATATTGTATAGTGCTAGTATGCCTTTTTCATCTCCTGAACTGTACTGAAACAGAAATGTAGACAATTTTGAAAAATGTTTAAACTGTCCATTTAATGAAAGTCAGTGTGACCCATGTTGTTTTAGGCCCCATTGACTTTCATTAAATGGACAAAAACATTAAAACTTTAAAACATTCTTTAAAACATCTTCTTTTATGATCCGCAGAAGAAAGAAAGTCATACCGGTTTGAAAAGGACATGAGGTTGAGTAAATGAACTATTAAACAACAGGTTCAAAACAGCATATGGGTCAAGATATATGGTGTTCGCAAATATTTGGCCATGATTGTATATATCAGCATATGGATTTACTGTGATCATATGCAATCAAAATACACTTGATGTGCTGCTGCTTCTCAATGCAACAACACAGTGAAAAGTTTGTGCGAAGACTTCATTTCCATGCTTTTTAGATCTTCCGTATCTACAAATATAAATCCATCAGCAATCAGTGTGTTTAGGAATGTGTTATTCATGTTAGTGTACAAAACAGCAATCTCTAACTTTTCCTCTTCTGATGTACCTAACGTCCACTCCTGTTGAAACCAACAGAAACAAACAAAAATCAGTGCAAAAACAGACTCTCTTGGTGACAGACTTTTTCCGTGCCCCAGGGCACCTGTTGTCCCATATGGGCGATCGCTGCAGAGCGAGACAGGACAGGCATTTAATACTTGCAGAATGTCCAGTGCTGCTGGCTGCTTTCTCAGTAGCACGTTCACACAGCTCCCACTTGTGCTTTAATTTTCACTCAATTAACTATTTTATTTAAATTTAATGTTAAGCAAGACCCATGCATATAATGGTGATGATAATATCTGTTTGTTAGGTGCATAGAAAAAATAAGCAGTAACTGTTTTACAGTTTAATTTCTGATCCATAAAAACTCAACACCTATTTATTGATGTATTAATTTGTTATTAATTTATTTGCATATTTAAATGTAACATATCTTGGATCCACTGGAAAATCAGTTCATGATAAATATTGCACATTTAAGCACATTGCTAAGCAACCATACATCATACAATTAAAATGTCAGCAATGCAAAATGTCAAAATGCAACAGTTGCAACAAATGCCACAGACACTTCATGCATTTAAAGTTTGGCGAGTTTTCAGGACTGGAGTAAAAAGTTATAGCTTTTCAAAGTGGAATAATAATGACAGGCCAATGCATAAGCGATAGAAATTGGACGGGAAAGCAGATGCATGTTCTGTACATGTCTACTGCAAACACATGTCTAAAAGTTGTCTAAAAGTTTGGCATAAAAAAGACGGCAGATGAATGAGCACTTTGAGTAAATGGCGTCAGAAGAACAGACCTTTCTTGCCGAACGGTCCCCGTCGTGCTTAAACACACACTTTGACATCTCAACAATGGCATGCACATCAAAGCTCAGTCAATATTTACATCAATCTGCTTTCCTCCGGTGAAGAAAGAAAGTGTTAGACAAGGCATTGCATTTGAAAGACTGCTGGTCTGATTTGCACAGACCCACCATAAAACTTAAAAGTCTTTATGGAAATTTTTGAAATACCTGGATGAATCAGTTTGACCAATAGAATTGGCTGGATTATTCATTGAACAGAATGATTCACTAGTGAGATTCTATTAAAAGATTGTTAAGACATGAAAAATCCTCATTATATTTATGCAATTATCAAAAAATTTGCTGAAGCGTTTAAAAACAAATGAGTAGTAAATGAACACGAATTTCAAATATGAAGTCATGTGATATATTGCACAATGCAATAAAATTCGCTACAACACTGGTGGTATAAAAAAAACAAGCTCCAATCTTATGCACTTGCAACTGTCTAGAGACACTGGTCAAGATGTTTCAATACGTTTGAAAGGTTGTGGTACATGTGTTTGCAATCCAATTCCCCAGCCATGAGCCTGAAACACAACTCTCTCCAGTTATTGATTCACGTGAGCTGCACAACGTTTAATGTGCGAACATTTGAGTCCTCCTTTGCGTCATCATTCACAATCAGGGGACATATGGCATGCCTTAGCGATTAGCATGGACTTAAACCCAACAGGCTTCCAGCTGACATGGAGAAACCCAATACTGTACGGAGCGCCCCACTGCATCACTCTACACACACGTTCCAATCAGATACCGCTGCACTGAGAACTGTCACAGGACACATGGGAACCAAGCATTGCTTTTCATGTTTGGTAACGAATGGGCATGCTCTGTATGGTTCGCTCGCACTGAAAGTGTCCCGTTTGGGGCAACATAGTTTCGCTAATGTGAGCGGAGTGGAGCAGCGATCACTGAAGTTGGATCACATGTATGTCATACACTCTTAAAAATAAAGGTGCTTCACGATGCCATAGAAGAACCTTTTTTGTCTAAATGGTTCCATAAAGAACCTTTAACATCTGAAGAACCTTTCTGTTCCACAAAAGGTTCTTTATGGCGAAAGAAGGTTCTTCAGATTATAAAAAGGTAAGAAAGAGATGGTTCTTTAAAGAACCTTTGACTGAATGGTTCTTTGTGGAACCAAAAATGGTCCTTCTATGGCATCGCTTGAAGAACCTTTTGAAGCACCTTTATTTTTAAGAGTGTACATCCTAAACTGGTGGGTCACGATCTGCAAATGGGATCAGAAATGAAAGGTCACAGGGAAAAAAATAATGCTAAATCTTAATAATATAATGCATCTAATCTCATAATCATAATCGAGATAGAATAAGTAAGTTAAATAATAATGATAATTTAAAATATAAGATGAAACAGAGGAGATAATCACTTTCCATATGGTTCTCGTTGACATGAAAGTCATGTGCTCAATTAAACAATGCCATTTTAGCACAAATCCATCTGTCACTTAGTAAAAACAGTCAAATCAGACAAATGTCAGGTAGCCTGACTTGCACTCATCCTAATAAACCACAAAGAAACTCTCAAGATAAAAGAAAACATGCCAGAGACTACATTGAATACAGGTGCACTTGAGCATAAATATGATTTATGAAGAACAAAATGTGTTTTGTGCAACTGCTGAGAGCATGAAACCACAGATTCCTGTGATGTTTAGAAGCCAAAATTGTCAGCCTATTTCTTGTTAATAACTTTGCATGTGTTTGTAGCTCATAGTAATAAAAAAAATGTCCTGGAGCAACCACTGATCTTAGATGACAGAGTCTGTTATTAACCTAGAGCCTTTCATGTCTTTGATTTGCGAATAAAATAATAATCCCACAGCATCCTTTTGAAGATATTTAATGTAATCAAACCAAACATCCCTCAAGTACTATTTACAACCCCTCACTGTCTCAGCAAAGCAGGTGATCGAAGCAGGAGGTCGTACTCACAGGTAAGATGTCAAAGGACTTAGGTCAGTTGGCACACTGGATAGTCCTTTTTCAGAGCAGTCCACGAGAAGTAGGATGCCATCCTCCTCACACTGGCACGCAGACGGGCACTGCTTACCAGGCACAGCGGCACCCGGTGGCCCGTGAGAATGGGCACACGAGACGGCATGCAGGATCAGTAACACCACCAACATGACAATGACTCCAACTCTTGTCTTTATGTGGGTGAGCTGTATATCTGTCTGTCTCTCTGCAGTCTCACTCAGCTGTAGCTCAGTTTGTGTGTATGTGTCTGTCCGCTCTCAGCTCTCTGAAATGTTATCCTGAGCCTCTTCTCTGTAGATTTATTCTGTCACTTCAAACTCCCATGGGTGAATGAGTCAGTCAGGGGCTTACACAGGTCTTCTCTCTCTCTCACTCGTATCATCTCACTTAGGAGACATTCACCTATTGTAGTGGAATCTTGCAGCGCTCCTCTGATTGGCCAGAGCTTTTGGAGGGCGGAGCTGCCTGGCACAGCACTCCTCCTACTTTCTCTTGCGCGCTCTTTCTGCCTCAGGCAGCTGGAGTGGATGGTTGGAAGAAAGCAGGGGAGCCAAACTTTGAGAGGGAGGAATGTATACGTTAGAGATGGACAGAACGGAGATCTCAGTTTCACTATGCCTTCCCATCATACCTTTAGATGTACCACAATCCTTCCCTCATAATTACTGTTCTTCAATTGCTGCAATCCAGACTTTCATGGAAAGTTCCCCTAGATCCTGCAACGCAAATTTAGCTGTCAAGCACCGGCCGCTTTTCCTGCTGTTGCTCCTCGTATAAATCATATGCGAATATCGTTTCGCTCCATTTCTCTCGGAGCAACGCTTACATGGTGTTTTATAACCCGAACAACAATAAATGAGTTAAGCTGCGGGCTCCCCTCAACCTCATGCTCAGCCAAACAAACTACAGATTTACTACTTTGCTGTCCTAGCTTGTACAGCAGGATGTCTCTTTACCGCAAGAGGCATGAATATACAGAGCAAGAGACATTTGCATGGGTTGTTCGGTGAGTCTCACTTTAGTTAGTGGAAGGAACGGTGATGAATTGCGCTGTTTATTCAGTTGGAAAAGTGGACAATAGAATTTAACGGTTCACTAGACTAGGTGATAAATACTATTTGTTTATGTCTCAAAGGATCATGGGAACTCCTGATTGATTGCCATCAAGGGCCCTAAGAGTGGCAACAGCTAATTTTTGCACATTTCCTTTTGTGAAACTGTGGCCAGTTTTCTGAGAATCAAATAACATTAATTTTGAGTGCTTCAGTTGCTTTGCATTAATCTTAGTCAACCCATCTGTTTCAAAATCTCGTTCTAGTAGTTGATGCTTTTATGCTTTCAACATTACAGTCCAGCATGAGGATCTTCAGTGCTGCTCATTCATCTGATGTAGAATTATTCACAATGGGCTCAAATTAATTCCATTAATTCATTAAAATTCCTCAGCTGAGCCCATTTTCTGTGAAGCCTTTGTTGCATTCCCTCAAAAAAAAAATTACAACTGTAGTCATTGCTGCACATTATCTCTGCATTATCCACGCACACACACACACACACACACACACACACACACATAGTGATCAGCAAATCGGTCAACCTTTCACACACCAAACACCATCTAGAGCTCAATTCTCATGCAAACACTAATTGCAGTAATTGCTTTGCCTGAAGACAGCCTCAATATAGATCTACAAACATGCAATACTCCCCTGTCTCTGAGGTTTAATTTATGACAGTTCAGTTTCCAGGCGTGTCATGCCAGAAGTGATGTAAGGTAAGAGATGCTGAATGAGAATGATTAAATAAATAAAACATGAGGATTGCATGTACCCAGAGGAAAATGTAATTGCTCATAGGATGCTCTGTCATAGCTCAGAAGACTTAACAAGGTTCTTATTTATTTATGTTTTCTCCCTAAAAAATGTTTTCAATAGAAGTAGAAATAAATAAGCTATAAAATGAGTGTGAGCTCAGATAATTTGGTCGTGAGGAGTTTGACTGCAAGCTTGTGTGAGACTGATCTCTCTCTCTCTTTTTTTTTGAATGCATTATTTTTAAATATGTCTCCATTTGCTCTATTTAATCTCATTGCTCTATAGAGGAAACAAGTGAAATAGTAACATTTTATTTGTTCTCAAATTTTTTTTCAATCAGTAAAAACATAATTCAAACCTATTTTTTCCACTGCAAAAATAATTTTACAAATCAATATTTGTCTTGATTTTAGTAAAAATATCCAAACATCCTTTAAACAAGAGACATGAAACAAAATGACAAAATATATTAGGACTTACATATTTTTGCTTATATACAGTAGTATTACATTTTATGATTTATATATTTATATTATCTATTATATTCTCTATTAAACATGTTTTTTATGCAGCTATACTAGTCAAGTAAATCATATTAAACATATAATATTTAGACATTTTTACTGGTAAACTAGCTTAAGAACATACTAAGAAAACATTTTTGCAGTGCTGTGTGACTGTGAGGTTTGTGCTTTTCTGTACAGAATGAATGGAATCTGCTCTCACTATTTCTCCTGAAGAGCAAAACAGAAAGAACAAGCAATTCTGAAAAGCTCAGACGCTGAAAAGCAGGGATTTGTGAACAATGTGCCGGCAGTAAAGGAGAAGTTGAAAGTTAGACGTGCTGTCACCAAACACAGCTCTGCAAACAGTTCCCACCTCTAGGCACCTGCTCGCTGAGTCGGATGCCAAAACTGGGTTGGGTTACCTATACGGCTGGAGCTACAGGGACCGCAGGAAGATTTGCCCCGTTCCCTGCCCCTGCAGATCAAAGGCCTACACTCCCCTCTCAATCTCATACACCCCCC